GAGATTGTATTAAGATTTTTATTGTGAATTAATTAAATTGCTAATATTTACTAATTATATATTTATAATTAATTACTAATTAATTATAGAAATAAAAAAATGTACTTATATTGAAAATGTTTTGACAATTAAAAATAAGATTGTTAAAACCTTTACATGCTGCACTGATAAATACTTAATGTATTTTGTGGTATTTAAAAATTGTAAGTGATCACTATTTATAAAGTAATTACAGTAGGTTAAACTTTGAAACTGATCTGAAGCCACTTTCATTAAAGCCGTTGAACTAAATATTTTTTTAAATAGCCAGTTCTTTCTCTTTTATATATTTTTATTGTACTATAACTATTTTACTATTTTATCAGACAAGCCAGCTGCAGTTCATAGTGGGTGAACCACCCCCATATCCCCCTGACACTTGTTTGTTTTTAATGCTCCCCATTGGAACACATGTAATTGTCTCAAACAAACAACTCAGGCAGCATACAAACAAACAATTTTACTAATATTTCACAACATCTGGACTTTTCTTGCCTTCTTTGCTGCAAAGGCATATAGCCCATTAAAGTGAACCCGACCAGCATTATGCAAATCTTTAGCAGCTAAAATATAAGTAATGGTTTAAAAGCGGAATTTTATATTATACATTGAATTAAAGGCGGTTCATTCCACTGTGGCGAGCTCTGATAATCAGAGACTAAACTGAAGAAAAATGAATGAGTATTGAATTAAAGGAATGAACCGTAATTCTTTTTCATATTAGAGCGTAGACGCATTGTACAACCGCCAGATGGCGCAACAACACCATAATCCTTTCCACAATTCTCAAACCCGTCCAACACTAAAATAAACATCTTCCAATCTGAAATGATTCCCTTCAGGGCCTTTGGATGAAGTGTGAGTGATGCGTTATGATGAGCTTCAGATTTACGTCTGCTTATGATTGTGGCTGTTTTCATCCTGGTGGGCTTTTAGTGCCGAGCTGTATTTCACATGTAGAGGAGAGCCTGCTGAAAACACTGCTGGAGCTTTAGTGTGACGCACACGAATAGAGCCACCACTGTCTAAAAGAAGCTGTGTGTGTGTGTGTGTGTGCATATTTGTTAACTGTGTGTGTGCATTTGTTGAGTGTGTGTTTTTGACTGGGTGTATGTGTTGAGCGTGTGTGCGCATGTGTTTGTGTGCATTTGTGACTCTGCGTTAAGTCTGTGAGAATGTTTTGAGTGTGTGTAAGTGTATTTGTTGTTTTGTATATATGTGTGTGTGTGTGTATTTGTGAGTGTGTTGAGTCTGTGTGTATGTGTTGAGCGTGTGTGTGTATTTGTTTGTGTTTATGTGTGTGCATTAGTGACTGTGTATGTGTTGAGCGAGTGTGTGCATATTTGTGTGTGTGTGTGTGTGTGTGTGTGTGTGTGTGCGCGCGCGTGTGTGCGCGCGTGCATATTTGTTGAGTGTGTGTATTTGTAACTGTCTGTGTTGAGTGTGTTTGTGCACATTTGTTGAGTTTTTATTGTGTCTGTGTTGAGTCTTTGTTAGTGTTAGGCATGTGTGTGTATTGAGCCTGTTTAGAGT